CGTTCCTTTTCAACTTGTACGTGCTCAGAAAAACACGTACGATCTCATTTCGTTTTGAATCCACAAGGCTATATGTGCTCGAATTATATTCCCAATATTTTTTTGGGAATTCGGAATGGAGCACACCAAATTTGGGAAAATGTTTCACATTCGAGCAAACTCGAAATGCAGCACATGGTCGACTATATACTTTTTTGTTACAACAACAACCAAATTTCCCATTCCAACCTTCACCAATGATGGCTGATTCAACTCTGCTACACATACGTCAGATGAAATCGTGAAGACATCCAAGACTATTCCGTCGGAATTCTTCGTCAATGGAGAGCTCTATGAAATCTAAGCATCAACAGGTGGTCTACGAACGAAGCCACGGATTGACGATGTTGTAATTCGGCCTATATTCTGACTGTGGTACTTTTTAATACACCGATTATTAAGGGGATAATCCCTTCGTAGTATATTTCATAGAATTACAAATACTGAATGGCACTTCATCTCTAAATGCCGACATTAGATAAAACACTAAGGAATTGAAAAGCATCGGTACATTGTCCACAGTCTATTGAAATCTGAAATTCATTTCACATTTTATGAGAATCATAATTATTTTTTACATTATGAAAATTGTATGGGTGAGGTATGGTCACATGGAGTGCATCTTTACACAACATTTGCACCAAAAAGGTAATATGACAACTATTGTAATTTCAACAATTATAACAAAATTACTACACGATGGTTATTGCTATGTATAATATGAAAGTTATCTAACAGTTCTTGAAAAAAAATTATCATTAGGATATTGGAATATGCGGACATTTCAATAGGGATATGAAGCGCTGCTGTTACTACAAAAATTACTTCAACACTACAATGACAATGAAGAGCTTCCATTTTTAAAAATAGTCGGGGAAACAGGAAATGTTACTACTACTGTATTTTTTTTTCAAGCACTTTGTTAAGCATAAATGATCTTGTTGGCATATTTTATTAAACAAAACGAACAAAAAAACTATTAGCATTTATGCATTTTTATATATATGTATGTAGCTATTAGTAATAAAAACAACGCAACTACTTTTATTATGACAAAAACAAATATCGGCTATTGAAAATTATCTTATGTCGTTGTTTTTTGAGTCCTTTTTCAGGTTTATTTTACATACAAAAATTATTGAAAAAGTTGGCCATTCGAGTGCCAAAGACTTCAATAGAAGCCTTTTCCAAACTGAATTCTGTAAAAAGTTCAAGGATAAGTGTGAAAGTGTTATATATAGTTATTATTGTGTTAAGAAAAAATAATAAGAAAAAAGAAAGAACGGAAAGGAAAAGAAAAGGGTAACTAAACTAAATGAAAACTAAAAGAATAAAAGCGTGTGATTGTCATGAAATTGTTGTTGTTTGGAAATAGAGATAACATTCCAAATTAAATTGGCTATACTATGCAATTTTTATCACAATCCCAAACTTGTGTTATTTTCTATTCATATATCTGATCTGACACTAAATGAGTTGATGGTATATTCAATACTAAAACTATTTCTAAAGCAGCGCTATTGGTATTAATCTAAACTCACAGATGTGGACGAGTTTACGTTTCTTCTCGCATAGCAGGATTATTAAAAAATAATTTTGGAACTAAAGAGAATCCCTCCCTAGAGAAATTCCAGAAGGACGAATAGAGCAATTTTAAATGCGAAGACTGCTTCTAAACTCTGAGATATTCTACATATCGTAGCATAATAGGATTAACTTATATAAAGAAAAATGTTTAGGGGTTGCTTGTAGTTATCATTCATATCAAGGCTATACAGTGTAGTCATTGTGGCCTGAATAACTACCGACCGATTAACCAATTTTCTTCTGACAAAGGAAAGGTTGGTGGACCTTGAAATAATAAATTACCTCGATCTAGATAAAATCAACAGGCTCACATCAACCATAGATCAGTAGATATCGTGTAGTGCGAGATAAGGAAGACAAGGAGAATTTCATCTTTACATCCAGGCTGGCTTCCTTGACATATAAACTGAATTCCAACCATTTTACAGACTAGTGGTAAAACTGATCAAACTCACTAATTTTTTTTGCATAATTCTTATTTTCAAATGTTAGTTAGAAGACTTGCCAACTAAACGCTAAACTTAATATGCCCTCCTACATATTAATTCATAATCACTGATGTTAATCAATGCCTCCAACTAACTTCAAACTCTCCAATATTCCTTTCGTAAATGCCCAAACATTTATGCCATTTTACTTTTGAAAAAATTGGCAAGACTACAAAAAAAACCTTTTCTCAATTATTATCATTTGTTGCAACATATCGATCAATAAATTAAAATTCAACTAGACGCCAACAATCACCAACGTTATGTTGGTTCGTTCGTTCGTTCCTCCCATGTCAGTGGTGGTATTGGTTATTTAAAAATATTTCTTGTTGGAATTTGGTGCTGGTGGCAACTGCCACTATTTCGTCGTTACATCGCTCGACCAGGCTGTCTCCTGTCTCTTTGTTTAGTGTATTTTCTACTAGTTTATGATGATTTCGAACAAATGATGGTTTGCTAGCCAAAGCCATCTAACTGAGCGAGCAGTAGCTACCTGATAACATGAACGGGGGGTGGGTATTGCAATAATATTTTAATGACGGCTGGCTTTCTTCGTCCAACAATAAATACCCAGAAAAAAAAAACAAAACGCACACCAACAAGTTAATCGTATTTAATGGAAATACAAATGATTATTGATATGACAGCAGCAAAAACTCTCACACACAAAAAAACTCCTTTATGTTATGTGTGGAAATAAAATGAAATATTGAAATGTTGCAATAGTTTCTACTGCATACATAAATGAATTCCAGTATTATATACAAACTAGTAAATTGTATATAGTCTCATAGGCGGGCAAAAAAATGAGAGCTTAAGTTAAACTTTCACTTAAGAAAATATGAATCGTTGACATCAATTGAACAACGAATTATGATTATATCAATCATAATTGATATGTATTATTTTTTATCGATTGTATACATTTTAAACGACATTTAAGTTTCTTGTTAAAAAAAGAGAAAAATTCCTAGAAAAGGCATGTAGAGGATGATGCTAATTTATACAATATACTGTAGATATAAACGACATATACTTGGAGGACCTTTGAAATGGAATCGGACGACAATAACTGTGTCATCTACATAGATATTTGAACCAATTAGAACCTTACACATTTTTAAACCAACCATGGCATATATCATTTGGTATGCTGCAGCATGGAGCACAGCCCACAATTTAATTTCGTGTATATGGAACAGATGTAGGCTCCTCGGTGCATAATTTAATAAAATCACAGGAAAATATATATGGGAGATATATCTACATCCGATAATACACATAACTCTAAACCTCGCCTCTTCTAAATTTCGTGTAAATCGAACAAACATATGCTCTTCGGTGCTTCAATGTGAGCTATATTTAAATCTAAACCGATTTCAACAAAACTTCGAATCTGTATATCTGGACCTAACTCAGTACAATGCACAAAATGTTGTCGCACTATTTAAATAAAATTGGACGAAACTATATACGGGAGCTATATCTAAATCTGAACCGATTTCAAAAAAGCTTCACAGACATTAAAATGGTCCCAATTCAGTACGCTATGCAAAATATTGTCTCAATCAGACAATCATTTGGGTGTTTTGTTGCACCATTTCCATAAAATCGCACGAATATATATACAATGGGAGCTATATCTAAATCTGAACCGATTTCCACAAAACTTCGCATATATAAATATGGACCTATTTCAGTAAGCTGTGTAAAATTTTGCCCCAATCGGACTAATATTTGGTGATTGTTGCACCACTTAGATAAAATTGGACGATAATATATGGAAGCTATATCTAAATATGAACCAATTTCCCCCAATAGGGTTCATCCTTGGGCCAAATAAGTGACTTGTGCAAATACTAGATCACAAGAGGGACCTCGATGGTCAATTTCAAATATAGTTCAAGACTATGAACATTTCACATATAGTCCAAAAACACACAGTTCGTCTTAAAATCTATATTTATTATTTATTTATGTCCTTATAGTGACATTTTAGAGAATTTGCAAAAAGTTAATTTATGATTAAAACTGTTATGACGTTACACCCAAAACTTAGTGCGACTTATGTTTCACGTGATATTTTCATCTTTGACAACATAATCTTATTATTATCTTATAAATATCCACCACTAAAGTACCGCTCTTTCCCATACATTTATTTTGTTCGTTTAAACATTTGAAAAAAACAAAATAGTTTATAAAATATTCAAAAAAATATTACACCTTGAAAAGATTACACTATGTATGGGAATAGATGGCAACAATAGCCATCTCACATAATATTGCATCACACACAGCACTGTTTACAATTTGACAGCGCAATATTTTTTCATTGAATTTCTAATAAGGTCTTGCGAATTTGATATCCATGTATAGCCTACATTTTCAGTGGCACACATGTGTATCGCGATATAAAGAGGGCAAAGTTTTTTTGTTTATATAGTTCCCCCTACAATATGACACTCCACACCGCGCACAACCCCAAATTCACTAAATTGACATACAATTGTTAATTTACACAACACGTGCTGCTTGCTTGCAATGCACACAAAGCTCAACCGAATCAAACTGAACTGAATGCGTCGTTGGTATCCCCATGAGCCATAGGTTGGCTCATATTACAATGACCGATTGTGTGCGCAAAGACTCGCAATTGTTATGGCAAATATTTACTAGTTATGGAATGATTTAAACCAAAATATTGATAAGAAAATGAAAACTAAAATAGAAAAACAAAAACTTAGGAAAAAATACAAACAAAACTAAAATCATTTCGCTTTTCTTTTCTTGATAAAGCTCAACAAATAAATAGAAATAAAACAGAACAACGAAAAGTCATAAAAATTTAACTGATTTATATTGCATTGGGTGGTGGTGACTCACCTTCTGTCGGTGCTATAAGCTTAACAAAATTATCAGGAAATACACCAATTTTGCCTCTCAGTTCACCTTTCCACCAGCCCTTATCGGGCAACTCCATGCTATGAATGGTAATGATATCGCCCACTTTCAGCTCCAATTCGTCATCGTTCTGTGGTGCATAGGGGAATTCCACACGACAATGCTCTCTTTGGGGTTTCGGTGGTAAACTGGGAGCCACATCATCTGCAGCCGTCAAGGTTGCTGTCGAATTGGCCGCAATTGTGGTGCCGGAATTTAGTAGATCCTCTTTGGAATTATGAAAACTAAGGCGATTCAATTTCTTCGTTGTTGTGGTTGAGGAGGAGGATGTTGATGATGACGATGCCACAATAGATGATGAGGTTGCTGTGTTCAATATTGCCGTAGAACTCAACACTGTCCCACTGCCAGTGCCTGTTATTGTTGTTGGTTTTGCTAACGATGGTGGCCGTTTGCTGGCAAACACCGGAGATGGTTCTATGACTTTAACAAAATTCGAAGGAAAAACACCGATTCTATTATTAAGACGTCCACGCCACCAGCCTTCTTCAACCTAAATATTCACAGAAAACGACACAAAAACGAAAAAGAATAAGACGAAGTAGCCAATTAAAAATTAAATGAAAAATTGTTAAATTGAGGCCACAGCAACAGTCGTTGGAAACCAGTACACAACACATAACCCCTCAAGAAGGAAATGCAACTAACCAAAGCAACCAACGAACCGAAAGGAATTGCTTTAGTTGTTCCGAGTTGAAATGACTACAGCTGTTTTACTATGTGTTCCGTGCATGTGGGTTTCCTTCGGAGGGTGTGTTTTAACTGTTCCTGTTTAAAGTTGTGTGTGTTGTTCTTGTTTTGTTTGTTTATTTACTAACCTCCCCAAGGAATTCAATGACATCACCCACAGCCAGTGATAGTTCGTCATCATTGACTTGCGTATAACTGTAGATAACTTTACAGCGTCGATTACTTGTCGATGTTTTGTCTCTGTAAGAAAACGAGAAGAAGAATAAGAATCAGACATAAATACAGGCAATTAGTTTATGTGTAGAAATAATGTGACAATAACAATGTAATATGGTAACATTTACATATGTATTTCGACCTATGTGACATATGATAAACAAAGTGAATTGAATAAGTGGTTGAAATATATTCATTATACTAGTAATTAATCATATCCAGGAATGCTTATTATATTTTTAACAAGTACCTATTTTTAGAACACCAGACATGAATTTTAAAATTGTTAATAATTAACTTTTTAGGAATTATCAGTGCTATTGGCGTGGATTTTTTAAAAACTTTCTTGAAATTCCGTCTATATTTTCTGAAATAACTTCAGTGCTATAACAGCATTTTTTAAATACTAAAGAACTTAACTTAAAATGAAATACTATCAGTGGTAAAATACAGCGTTTTTGTACGACTAGACTACAATATCAAAAGCTTGGATATTTTAAATAATATTTTTTGAAGGACTACCAATGGAAAAAATGCTGAGTTTTCAAAGGACTGCCATTATCGTAAGCGTTAATCTTTTAATAATAGAACTAACAATTTTATAAGTTAATTTTTTGAAATATTTTTAAGGATTTTCAGTTTCCTTTTATGTAATACTTATAAAGCATTGTGAGTCATTGCCATATGCATGGATTATTAAAAATATATATATATATATTTTGTAAATAACTCTCAGTGTTATAAGTATAGACTTTTTTTAAGAAAATCGTTCCCAGACTATTAATAGCTTTATTATATTCCACCTAGGGGAATTCCACATGGATTATTTCAAAAAAAAAGTATTTTGTAAATAATTCTCAGTGTTATAAGTATATACTTTTTTTAAGAAAATCGTTCCCAGACTATTAATAGCTTTATTATATTCCACCTATAACGTTTGAAGAATATAGCTTCAAGTTCGGATTCTTTTAAGGAATAAATTGACATACTATTGGGGTCATTAGGAATATATTTTAAAGAAGTATGGATTTTAGAATTTATTTTGGAAGACTATTAGAGTTATAAAACGCACCTTTGGCAATCGCGTTTTCGATATGAAGCTCTTACCGTATCACTAGTTTCGATACATAGGTATCGAATATCGAAATATATAACTGACACAAAGTTTGAAATTTATAGCTAATAAGCTTATTTAGATACATAGGTTTTTGTATTTTTATATATGTTTCTGTAATATTTCAATTCCATTTCGTAAGTATTTCGTATATAAAACTTTTAAAATTTTTAAGACAATATTATTAAAAAGTGGTTAACTACGATGTGTATTATTATAAAAATATTTAAAAATATAATGTTTTTACAAATCTAATCGAAAAAAAATGAAAAAAAAACTATAAAAAGTACATTCGGGGTACATTCGTCATTTTAAAGTGGGGCACATTCGGCCATATACAGATTGTGCAATATTATTTCCTTAAAATGTTTTTGAGTTTGTCTTTAAAACTAATCCTTTAATATGGCTCGAAATTGCATATATAAGATAAAACGTGCTTGTATTGTCGAAAATGCGAGAGAAAATCCCTATTTCTGATGGTGTGTGCGACCTTGAGATGTAAACGTCCGCCGCTAGAGAAAAAGCCCTATAATTCAAACATTGTGTGGCGTATTAAAACCAAATAGAGCCTTTAGAGGATCAGAATTTCAACCAGACTGATAGCGATGACAATTACCCGGCTATGACTATGGTGCCGAATGTGCCTCATCAACTGCCGAAGCTACCCCGGATTGGGGCACATTCGGCGAATTTGACTTTTTTTACAAAACTGTAAAATTTTTTAACTAATACTATTTTTTTATATCTTTTTGGTACTATTTTTTATAATTAAGTGTCAGAGGACAATAATCAGCCATAAAGTTTTTATATATTTGAATAAGTACTGAGATATAGAGCTCTAAAAAAAAGTGCCGAAGGTGCCCCAGTCTCCCCTACTACCCAAGGTACACTGGTGGCCTAAACCAAAGCAACTGATAATAAATGCCGTAAAACTTTCCCAAAAATAAACATATCGTGTTGATTTTTTCAGTTTTAAATCAGCTACTTTATTCACTAAAAAAACAAAAGCAGTAATGAAAAATTAATTTTTTAATAAAAAATAATTTATGGGTATGGAAATTGTACAAATTTTTGCTTGGACAAAACAAAAGCAACTCTACTGTACAGATAAGACCTTAAATATAATTTATTTTTATAGTTATAATTACTATGTTTTGGTTTCTACACCTGTTTCGAGTCTTATAGATCATTTATAGGCTGACGTCAGAGTGCAAGCGAGAAGCGATGCGATACTACATGCTATAATAGTTCATGCTACTTCAATGCTATAGTATGTCAGAGTGAGTGCTATAGAGAGTAAAGCGTGTTGTTGGTTTACATCGCCTATTTCTGTTGTAAACTCGTGTTTATTGACTCAAGAAGGATTCAGAGGAAGAATTTTTCATATCGCAAAATATTTTCAAAGCTATTTTTAAAAGCAAATTCATGAAATTAACAAATATTTCTGCATCGATTTTCTTTATTTTTTTCCAAATTATTTTGTTATTATTTAATTAAATTTGGAATTGAGTCCACAAAAATCCCGACAGATTCATCCATGCCATTAAAATTCGATAAGATGCAAGAGAACGATGCCAAAAACCGATCAATAGCGGTAAATTAAAATAATAAACAAAGAAACTCAAAAAGAGCCAAAGCTAGCTCTTGCTATAAACCATTGCACAACACGCATTATCGCTTGCACTCGCTTTGTCTCGCTTGTAGCGTAGCATCCACTCTGACAGTTTTTGCGTTATGCCATAATAAAACACACGCAGAGGTTTATATAGCGTCGTCTAGCGGCATATCATAGCATCGCTTCTCGCGCGCATTCTGACATCAGCATTAAAAGGATTTCATTAAAATAAGATGTGTTTGGTTTTCAATTTTGAATTACTGCCAAAAAATATAAAAATGGTTAGAAACAAATACAGAACTCCGATAAAAACAGCTAATTGGCAAAGAGTGTGAAAAGAATTTAGCACAGAATATTATTTCAAAAAAATATTCCATGCATAAATCAGTGATTTCTCGAATTATAAGTTGATTTTATGCAGTGACAGTTCAGCTGCATAGGAACATATCGTACTGATAAACTAATTGTAAAAGTATTAAAAATTCCCCATTTAAAAGTTCAACGGAATTGGTAAGAGGGTTATCGTTGGATATAACATCAAGAACAGAGCTTGGACAAGCTATCGTAACAGGTATACCTGCCCGGAAACCATCAAGAAAGCCCTCTTATTTCTGAAAAAAAGTCGGAAAACCAGATTGGTTTATGCAAAAGTTTATATGGGCAATATTGCCAATTTTTTAATATTCCATTTTCAAAAAATCAGCTTTTTTGTTTTTGTGGCACATCAATGATTTTTGGTACACATATAGAGAAAAATTTTCTGACTCCGAAACCGTTCGCGATCAAATTTTTGGTTGATGCGCGCAAAAGTTTTCGAGGTTTTAATTTTGGGCATAAGAAAAAAATCTTAAAATTACGCCGTTTATTATATTGACCAAAAACGTTGATATATATCTTCCTCCGTAAAATAAGAATATGAATATATTATAATAATCACGATAAAGTTGCACATATTCGCGAAATATGGGAAAAATAAAAAAATATAGCAGATTACATCAATATTTTCATTATATTAATGACATACACACACCTAAAAAATAATTTAAAAATATCTACATAATCTAAACACCATGATGAATCAAATGATATCAAAATCACACAAGTCCGTGTAGCGGTTTCTAAATCACAGCGACAACAAAACAAGATATTGAGGAAAAATATTTGTTTTTGGTTCGAAAAAATAATGTCATCATATTTATTTTTTTAATTGTATACAAGAAATTTCAGAAAAAAATGTTGGGGTTATTCTGCTATTTTACCCGAATTTCGCCGAAAAATTGGCATATATAATAATCACTTTTTGTGTATAAGTATACGCCTTGCGGATTATATCAAGACCCTTCCGATAAATCTTAGAATTCTATAAATAGGAATAAATCTTAAAATAAAATAATATTATAAAATATACATTTTAAATTGCGTGTAAATCGCGTAATTTTCAAAATCATTTGATGCGCATGCGGTTTCATGGAAGTACTGAAGTTTATCTTCCAATCCATATATATTTTGCGAATTTTCATTTGACGGCTAAGATGTGCCACATGTCGCATTGAAGTACCCAAAAAATCGTAAAACGCTAATAATTCCCGAAAACTCCATATGCCATTAACGCGCATCCGATTTCGGTGTGCACCCTAAAAAAATACATCGATATATACCGATTTCAATGTGGTCCATTAAGAACCATGGATGTGCCAGCTCACACTATTTTTGAGATAAATTGCGTCTAAATCGCGTAATTCTCAAAATCATTTGATGCGCATGCGGTTTCCAGGAAGTACTGAAGTTTATCTTCCAATCCATGTATATTTTGCGAAATTTCATTTGACGGCTAAGATGTGCCACATGTCGCATTGAAGTACCCAAAAAATCGTAAAACGCGAATAATTTCCGAAAACTCCATATGCCATTAACGCGCATCCGATTTCGGTGTGCACCCTAAAAAAATACATCGATCTATACCATTTCAATGTGGTCCATTAAGAACTATGGTGCCCATCAGTATACTTTAAAGTAGCTGCCTACTCACACGCATTGTTATGCTCTTTCAGTCAGTCGTTGTTTGACAGGCAACAAATGAACACATGCTGGGGTGCCCGCACGACTCCGTGTCCGCACAACTAGAAAATCGACGAAATAACACTTAGGGTTAAAAGTGTTTCAGTATATTTGGATTTTTATTTTATTATTCAAAATGCGTTTTGTATGTTTAAAAACAACAGAACAATTGCTGTTTTTTTGAAAGAATTAAATATTTGATAATTATCGTAGTATTTACTATTAATATTTAGTATT